TTGCTCACACACAACTTGCCATCACACAACTTGCTCGCACACAACTTGTCTTCACCAAATCGCTCCCACACAACTTGTCCACACACCACTTGTCCACACACAACTTGTCCACACACAACTTGTCATCACACAACTTGCTCGCACACAACTTGTCTTCACCAAATCGCTCCCACACAACTTGTCCACACACCACTTGTCCTCACACAACTTGCCCACACACAACTTGTACGTGCATTCTGCGTGGCAGGCGTGGCACTTGTGGCACTGGGCTGGCTCTGGTGGCGCGCTTGGTTCCCAGTTGACGCCGTGGACGCCGACGATGTTTGCGTGGCAGGCGTGGTACTTGGCGACACGTGCGTGCATTCTGCGTGGCAGGTGCGGCACTTGGCGACATGTACGTGCATTCTGCGTGGCAGGCGTGGCACTTATGGCACTGGGCTGGCTCTGGTGGCGCGGTTGGTTCCCAGTTGACGGCGTGGACGCCGCCGCTGTTTGCGTGGCAGGCGTGGTACTTGGAGACATGTACGTGCATTCTGCGTGGCAGATGAGGCGCTTGGAGACATGTACGTGCATTCTGCATGGCAGGCGTGGCACTTCTGGCACTGGGCTGGCTCTGGTGGCGCGCTTGGTTCCCAGTTGACGCCGTGGACGCTGCCGGTGTTTGCGTGGCAGGCGTGGTACTTGGTGACACGTGCGTGCTTTCTGCGTGGCCACTTGGTGGCATGGACCTCTACTTTGCGTGGCAGGCGTGGCACTTGTGGCACTGGGCTGGCTCTGGTGGCGCGCTTGGTTCCCAGTTGACGCCGTGGACGCCGCCGCTGTTTGCGTGGCAGGCGTGGCACTTGGCGACATGGACAGTCACTTTGCGTGGCAGGCGTGGCACTTGGCGACCATGGACTTCCACTTTGCGTGGCAGGCGTGGCACTTGGTGACATCGACTTCCACTTTGCGTGCCAGGCAAGGCGCTTGGTGACATCCACCTTCGTTTCACGTGGCAGGCGTCGCGCTTGGAGACATCTACCTTCGTTTTGCGTGGCAGGTGTGGCGCTTGGTGACATCCACCTTCTTTCGCGAACCATCTTTCATACACCACTTTGTCACCCACCATCTTTGATACACCATCTTTCACACACCACTTTGTCACACACCATCTTTGACACACCACTTTGTCACACACCATCTTTCACACACCATCTTTGACACACTATCTTTCACACACCATCTTTGTCACACACCATCTTTCACACACCACCTTTCACACACCATCTTTCACGCCCACCTTTGTCACACACACACACCATCTTTCACACACCACCTTTCACACAGCACTTTGTCACCCACCACCTTTGACACACCATCTTTCACACCACTTTGTCACACACCATCTTTCACCACACAATCCTTCACACACCATTTCTCACACACCAGCTGTGACACACCATCTTTGACACAACATCTTTCACACCATCTTTCACACACCGTCACAGACCCATCTTTCGCATACCACTTTGTCTCACACCATCTTTCACCACACCATCCTTCACACACCACTTTGTCACACACACACACACACACACCATCTTTCACCACACCACCTTTCACACACACACACACAACTTTCTCACACATCATCTTTCACCACAGCATCTTTCACACACCACTTTGTCGCACACCATCTTTCACACACAACTTTGTCACACGCTCTCTTTCACACAACTTTGTCACACACACCATCTTTCACACACAACTTTGTCACACACACACACACACAACTTTGTTTTACTTCTCGGTCCTCCACCACCTCCTTTGTCTTTCCTTTCTTCCCTGTCCCCGCTACAACATTTGGTGCTCATTATTGGAAGACTTTGCCATGTGGGGTTATCTGGTCCTTGAACTCTGTGCCCCGCAATGTTCCAGCATGGATTAGACACAGAAAATCATTAGACCAAAACACAACCGAAAGGCAATTGCTGACCAAGTGAGCTGTAAACACAACAATTTCTGAGCACTAAGTTTGATCATTCGACACCACAACAATCTGATTGAAAATGCTCACTTGCTTTGCATATGACACAATTCCAGAAGCCGCTTGTGCAAGCCAACGGCTGCATACAATATCCTTTGGCCATGCAATGTGCCATCTGCTTTGCCCACTTACGCGTCGCGTCTTTAGCCCTTGCCACATTTTTTGCCAGAGCTTTGCTACCTGTGTTGCTATTGCTTTTGCCCGCAATGCAAGTTTGCCCTTTCGTTGCCACGTGTGTTGCCAAGGGCTTTTGCTCGCAACCCAAATTTTGCCATTCAATTTGCCGCCTGTGCTTTTGCCCCCGCCACGTATTTGCCAGTGTTTTTTGCCACCGATGTTGCCATTATATTTGCCCCCGTCGGTTTTTTCCATCCATGTTGCCCTGCAGATTGCCACCGCCATTGCCATTGCCATTGCTTTTGCCCTCAAAGTTGCCATCTTTGTTGCCATCAAATTTGGGCGCCTAATAGAGCATTGTTCTTGAATTTTAGATTGCCACCGCCATTGCCATTGCCATTGCTTTTGCCCTCAAAGTTGCCATCTTTGTTGCCATCAAATTTGGGCGCCTAATAGAGCATTGTTCTTGAATTTTAGATAATATATATATATACACACACATAGAGCACAGTAATTTCAATGTAATTTCTGTTCAAACGTGTTTCCCAGCCTGGCCAGACCTAGAACCTAAACTGGAAAAACCATATTTGATATATTAATGAATATCTGAATATCTCTGGAACGAGTTCTTGGTCGGATGGGTTTCACTGAAAAACCCAAACGGAAGAAACGAGGCATTTCTTGATGGTCGAAGGAAGTTTAGAAGTCAAACTTCCGGCAATATGGACAGATGAAAAGCAGAGGTGGGAAGAGTCAGAGAAGAGAAGAGAAGAAGAAAGAGAAAGAGTCAGAAGAAAGAAGATCCAGGCGCGCGAAAAGGTAGGAAAGTCGCGAAACACTGTGTTTTTCCAATGATTTGTGGCTCCGGAGGGTAGAAAAGTAGGCTCGCTAAAGCGGCGGGTGCGGAGCCAGCTGGCCAGATGAGAGATGAAAAATTGCACGCCGTTGTGGCGCGAAGCACATTTCCAAGTCAAAATGCACAAAGCACCACATGCTCGGACCATTTTTGGAAATTGAGATGTCGAAAAAGTGCACACCATTGTGGCGCGAAGCACATTTCCAAGTCAAAATGTACAAAGCCCACCAGCTCCGGACCACTTTTGGAAGTTGAGATGTCGAAAAAGTGCACGCCGTTGTGGCGCGAAGCACATTTCGAAGTCAAAAGGTGAAAAGCACCACATGCTCGGACCGCTTTTGGACGTTCAGATGTCGTTTCGCGTGGCAGGCGCACGGGATTGTGCACCTGGTCAAAATGAGCAAAACGTGAGGGTTTTGTAGCATTTCCAAAAACGATGGCAGGCGTGGGACATTTGAAGAGGATCTGCCAAGATGCATTTTCCGTGGCAGGCGCAGTACAAGCGACATCTTCATCAGAGCTGTTAGGAGGTCCGGGCGCTGATTTCCTGAGAGGGGTTGCATTTTGGAGCATCAGATCTTCAGGTTTGCTGAGATGATTTTGCGTGACAGGTGCAGCACTTCGTATAACCTGGCATCACTTTTTCGTGGCAGGCGCAGTAGTTTAGACAGGTGGACTGGAAAAATCACAAAACGCATTGGCACGAGGCCGTCAGCTCTGCACTCAACTTACCATTTTTGAAGGAAGCCTCGCAGAATTGCTTCGTTTTTGATGTTGTCAAGTTTGAAAATGAAGAAGTAGCTGCGTTCTCAAGCTTGCAGATAGATAGAAAGATCGATAGAAAGAAAGAAAGATAGATAGATAGATAGATAGACAATTACAATTACAATCACAACTACAACAACCACAACCACAACTACCACTACCACTACACTACACTACGCTACGCTACACTACAGTACACTACACTACACTACACTGCACTGCACTGCACTACACTACACTATACACTACACTACACTACACTACACTACGCTACGCTCGCTACGCTACGCTACGCTACGCCACACTACACTACACTACGCTACACTACACTACACTACGCTACACAACGCACTACAAACTACAACTACAACTGCGCTACCTTACACTAGACTACACTACACTATACCACACTACACTACACAACACTACACGGCATTACGCTGGACTACACTACACTAATTCCACCACACCACGACTACAACTGCAATTGCGCTTGCAAATACACTAATGACACTACATTACCGCTACAGCTCCACTACACTACACTACAACTACAGCTACAATTGCGACTACAGCTACAACTGCGCTACACCACACTACATCCAGCAGTTGTGGTAAGGGGGCCACTGCAACCACTGCAACCGTTCCAAAAAACACAACTCCAACCACCTGTCGATCCATCAGTGGATTCGCTCTGCCATCCGTGATTCACAACAACCAACCTCTCCTATAGGTTTCCTATTTTTGAAACTTCCGCCGCCGCCTTGCGCGGTACTACTGGCACCCTTTTCACATTTGGATGCTTGGATGCTTGGATGCTTGGACAGACATCATGTTCTACCTTCCAGATCCCTCCAGTCAAAGTTTCCTGGTGTTCCAGTCCTCTTACCTTTCCACCTCAACTGGTCTACCTCTGCGGAAAAATGCTGGAAGCATAATAATTGATGTTGGATGGATAGCCTGAATAGATAGCTCGCGAAACAATCAAGTGCAGACGTTGCGGTGGTGTGTGCTGTGCTGTTTTTCAGATTAGTCCAGATTCATGACCCCGCTGAAAATCCGAAAATCTTACTTGTCATCTTACAGTCCCAAAGCAAGAAGCGGTGAATGCTGCGATACAAAATGTGGAGGCAGGATGCTTCACAAGGCTGAACTGGAGCTTGCGTAGCTCCTCCAGTGCGCCAGAACGCCTCACAAGCGCGGAAATTGACATTGCCGATCTGGCGTGAGCAATTCATGTTTGGGCAGGAAAGTGTTCCTGTCAGTTGCTTCTTTGCGAAAGTCTCACCAAAAAGGACACCAAATTAGCATGAAGCAGCGAAAAAGATCCGATGAAGTAACTGGTTTGAGCAAGCCAATGGCTGAAAATTGCTGTGCAACTTGTCTGTGCTGTGCATTGCTGTGCTGTGAATGGGTCATCAGAGACTCGGTCCGAATCAGCGATGCAGGCCTTGGAAGCAGCGCACTTCCGGAAGGATGTTCAGTGACCCCTCAGTGTTTTTCTCGAACGCTTCTCTGCTTCCTGAGGTGTTCACTTCTTGTAGTTTGTGTCTTTGGCATTTGCTTGCTTTGCGAGTTTTGCGACTTGTGCTTTGCGTCCGATAACCTTGAACTCTTCTGGTCTTGGAAGCGCTTTGCCTACTCAAAGTTCTTCAAATCCTCAAGCGTTGGCTCAAAGCCTTTAGAACTCTGGAGAAAAGATGGATGAGCCGAGACAAGGCCGCACAATATGCTAGTAGCTTGCAAAGGAATATCTCGCTTTACTTTCCTTTCCTGGCCTACTACCAAATTTCGTACTACAAGTCAAAGCCTCAGCGGTCAAAGGACCATTTTTCTCACGACAGGTTTGTTCTTGTGCTCTTGTGGCTTTCAGGTCGGAACTGTTTGACGCCACTGCGATTGGCAGACTTGTGCAGACTGGATTTCCGGTGGGAGCTGCAGATTGGACACTTCACAGAGAAAGATGTGATGATGAGAACGTATGCGAATTTCTCGGAACTCCTAAGAAGACCTGTGTGTGTGTGTGTTTTCTTATAAGAGACACGTATCTTTGCAAGGCAGAGCTGGAGGAGTCTTTGGGCGACTCCTGGTCTGGGGCGCAGCTGACTTTCAAAGCTTTGGTGTCAACAGTCTGGAGCTCAGTAGATCTTTAGCTCAGTGGTTTTTCCTCAGTATCACTTAAGCCTCGTAGTGTGTCAAAAGTCATTCATAATCATTCTGCATTCAAGGAGAGGACACACACATCAAGAAAAAAAGGGGAAACCCGAGAAAATGTGAATGAGAGGAAGGAATGTGGCATTGCCATTTTGCTTCCAGGCTCCCTTTTCATTTGGACGGTCTTGTCTCCCCTTTTTTCATGTGTTCCATTTTTTCCACGCTTGTTTTAGGGTGGCCTAAATTCTGCTGTCTCGCTGGTAATTAAAACCATGTACCAAAACATTTTTGTGTGTTTGGTGCGCCCTGTACCTTCTCTATCCTCTTGTTCCTCAAGTTGTAACTCCAGCTCGGCCAGAAAGGCGCATTGATCCAACTTGGTGTCCTTCATTCAAGAGTGATCAAAGTGCTCTTTTAATTCATGTTGCACCAAAACGTTTTTTGAACAACAGACCCAAAAGACCATTTAGCTTTTAAATGATTCATTGATCCCCCCTTTGCTATCCATTATATATACTGTATATATACTGTATATATACTATATTATATTATATTATGTTACATTATATTATATTACATTATATTATAGTATAGTATAGTATAGTATAGTAAATAGTACAGTACAGTACAGTATAGTATAGTATAGAATAGTATAGTATATTATACTATATTATGTTATATTAGATTATATTATATTATAGTATAGTATAGTATAGTATATTAAATTATATTTTGA